GGCACGAATTGAGTCACGGTCTCAGCAGTGTGTAACAATAAGCGCAGAAGGGAAATACCACTAAAGAATGAATTCTTGCAGGATGGTGGTCACTGATCCTCCTAGTTTTGTCTCTAAACCTCATTCCTCAGGCGGCAGGGAGGGAGGCCCACGGCCCAGCTTGGGTCCAGAAAGGCTCTTTGGCAGCGTGTGTGGGAAGGATGGAGGGGTGAGGTGGGAGGCAGCTTTGAGCAGGCGAGGCGGGAGCTCGGGCCCCAGCGGTGGGAAAGGAACAGAGTGGAGGCTGGGTGAAGGGGGAGGGCAGGGTCAACGCCAACAAAAGCACATTATGTAAGACGACACAAGAGCAGGGCAGAATCTCCCCAGACGCCTCACCTCCAGGGGCTGACCCAGACCTAAGCTAAGGGCAGCAGCTGAGGCCAGCCAGGAGGGGGTAGGGGAGTGGGGGGTGGCGTACTGCTTCCGGCCGGCCTGGTGGCCTCCCTGCAAAACCCAGAGCAGCATCGAGGACGCCACACACCTAGACAGGCGCAGCCAAACACAGACACCTCCACCCCTAAACTCCTGGGATGCACAACCCCAAGGAGGAAAGGCAGGCTTTTAAAATCAGTTCAGAAAACAAACAAAAAAAGATTCATTACTTTGTTCAATAAATTAAAAAGATACCCCTTTTCTCATATCTGATGGTCCAAAAGGGTGATAATCCTTGGGACTGAAGTACTACGTGCTGTCAGGAGGGAGCCTTTTCAGAGGCTCTGCGTCAATCCATCAAAACATGACCCAGGCGTTTTCATTTTGAGGCCACTCTGATAGGGGAACCTGGCTCAGGATGCGTGCAAGGCAGTTTGGGCAGCACCATGGTTACTAGCTAAACATTGGAAACAACCCCACGTTGGTTGACAGGGGTCTGGGTAAGTAAACCGCGCCGTGCACAAAAGGAAACCCACCATCAGGAGGAGGAGGCAGGCTCGTGTTCTGACATGGAAAGATGCTCACAATATACTGAGGCAGGGAGAAAGTCAAACCACAGAAATATACCATGGGACCTCTTTTTGTAAACAGAGCTAAATGTGTATGTACACAGCCATGGGCATTTGGGGACCCAGACACACCAATCTGGAGGGATTTCTTCTGGGGAGAGGGACTGAAGGTGGAGGACCTCTCATTTTTTTCATTTTTCCACTCCCAAATTGTCTGTGTGTGCCTTACTTTTGCAATCACGCAACATGAGCGGTGGTTGCTTAGAACTGGGAAGGACTGGGAGAGAAACAGGGGAGAGAGTGAGGGGTGATGACTCATGGGTAGAGTTTCTTTCATGGGTGACCTAAGGTTCTGAATTGATCGTGGGGATGGTTGCCCGACTCTGTGAATATACAGAAAACCACTGACTGGTCCACTTTCAGTGGGTGAACTGGCTGGCAGGTGAATTGCGTTTCAGTAAAGTTGCTATTTAATAAAAGAATTAGCAACGGGAAAGGTGAGGCCAGAAGAAGGGAAGCAGGCAGGCAATGGCAAACTTCTGCAGGAAGGCTGTCAGGTGATAAACCTCAGGGAACTGTGTGTACGTAGGCAGTGGGGGGGAGGGAGTTCCTTGACCACCACAATTTCATCCTGGTCAACAGAATTTCCAGATCAATAATCGAGTCCTTTAAGGCTGTCCTTGAGGCAGAAGCCCCCCCACCCCCCACTATTCCATGACAGGCAGGGCCAGGTTTCCTGCCATGGACGCAGCACCCAACCCCCTACTTGTATACCTTGAGCAACAGTGAGCTCACTCCCTCACCTGCCCCATCTTGGTTTATGTGGCTCAGACCTTATGCAAAGAACCCCTCTTACAGCGCTGATAGGAGCCACCAACACACCCACACTTGTCCTGGCCTCTGCACCAGGTAGAAGCCATGAGCTGGCCTAACTCCCCATCTCCTCACGTCCTTGTTCCTTCCTTGTCATATGGGTCCCCCATCACTCACTGCCGTCCGGACCTCCTCCAGAGAACCCGTGTCCATCTCACACATATGCCAATGCAGAAGGCAATCACAGGTTCCCAAAACTCTGGTGGATTCTTACATCCAGGAAACCAGCATCAACCTTGACGACAGACCCTGGACAAGCCCTTAACCACAGCTGTAACTGCTCCTTTTAAACTCAAACACTGGACCCCTTTCAGGAACAGAGAATAAAGAACCATCTCAATAACAAAGGCAGATGTTTGCTAAGCACCTACTGTATCCCAAGCACTGGGCTAAGTTTCAGACTTGCATGATGTCATTATTCCCATTTTACAGATAAGGAAATTGAGATTCAGACACAGAGACCCTGAGCTGGCTCAAGTCTGAGGTGTGTGGGAAACATTGCAGGTGGTTCAGAGGAGAAGGGGTCAGCAGAGGATGAGATGGCTGGACAGCATCACTGACTCAATGGACAAGAGTTTGAGCAAACTCCGGGAGACAGTGAAGGACAGGGAAGCCTGCAGTCCATGGGGTAGCAAATAGTCAAACACGACTTAGCGACTGAACAACAAGGCCCTCAGAGCCGGCCGCGACTTTGGCCCTCAGGGTGCACACTGGTTCTGTCACAGCAGGAAACTGAGATCCCAAGAGAGTAAGTGAGTGGCTGCCCGAGGTTGCGCAGGCCTCCTGGCTCCCTGGCCAGGGGTCTTCCTCCATGCAAACTCCCCTACGAACGAAGGAGAAGCTCATCCTGCCACCAGCCACACGGGGCCGCCGGTGTGAGAACAAGCCCCTACTTGCCAGGAGCTTTGAAATCCTAGGATGAAAGGTGCCGTGACAGCAAAAAAAAAAAAAAAAAAAAAGCCAGCACCATGGGCAGGAGCGCGCCTGACCCCTGCCAGGACTTGCAGGCTGGCACTCACCTGCTCGGGGTGGGCACAGAGCCCTGGGAGCCACCGGCCAAGCCACAGAACCTGAACAGGAATGGAGCCTCAGAAATCAGAGCACAGCTGACTTCTCTACAGCGCAGCCTGGGTGGGAGAGGGAGGGCTTTGGAATTTTAATTGTCCTGCAGGAAAGTGCCCCACTGCCCTGGTTGCTCCGTGGGAGGGGCCAGGAGGATGCGACAATCTCCCCAGAGATTTCCCAGGCAGCCCCCTCCCGTGAGAGGGGGGCTGGAGGCTTGCTGGCTGCCTCTCCTCCCACCTGGTACTGCAGGAGCCCCCTCAGGTGAGCCTGGACCAGGAATTTGAGGCATCTGAAGAGGGCTATTAATAGCACTGAAGTTTTGAGAAGAAAGAGGCCAGCAGGCTCTGAGTGGGCCCAGCCCTCTTCCACCCAGCCTGGTATCCACAAAGCAAACCCAAGCCTGCCCAGGAGAGGACACTTCACCTTTTGTGGCCTCCGTCTCCTCCCCTTCAAGGTGGCAGTTCTCAGCCCAGGAGGCAGGAAGAGGGAGAGAGCCAGAGCTGGGTGTGTGGGGGGGGAGGGAAACGCCCCCCCCAAGAAGGCGCAGCACACCCCACCCAGGCGGGGGTGAGGGGGACCCAAGAGGAGGTCGTGAATGGATGGACTGTTACAGAGCCCCAGGAGGCTGCCACCGACAGGGAGGGGACAGGAAGACTCCGCCCCAGCCTTCCTCCTCCCAGAGTCCAGGCCTGTCCTGCAAACAAGTGTTCCAGGACTTAACCCCCTGCTGGTCTGATGCTGGAGAGGGTCTGACTCACTTCTCCTTCACCCCCACTGATGGGCCAGCCCCAGGCCTGGCACAAAAGGGGATCTCCGGCCATGGGCCCAGGACCCCAGTCACAGGACAAATCTTTGTGTCCAGCTAGGGTGGGGACACAGCATTGGGAGAACCCTGGTTCCTGTTCTCCAGGGGTCTGAGTGGGCAGAACACAGCTGCTGAAACTCTACAGGATGGCAGGACAGACACATCATGATAAGTGTAGGCAGACACAGTGTGCTAGGTCTACTAAACAGAGAAAGGCAAGTTCAGCTAAGAGCAACAGGCTCCCTTCTCATAGACTGCCCCCCACCATCGTACATGGACCAGCATCCCACACACTGGGGTCTCCCCCATGCCAGAGCTGTGTTAAGTAAGCCATGTAAATTAGCTCACTTAAATCGATTAATAACCAAGAAAGTATTCACCCCATTTCGAAGAGGAGGAAACTAAGGGGCCAGGGCGTTAGGAGACTTGTCCAAGAGATCCCAGATGGGAAACAGACTCTGGGATTCTCCCCTGGCAGCCTCCCCCAGAACTGAGTTTCCCAGGCAGCTTTAGGGTTTTACCCTGTCTCTCCATTCCTGGGGTTTGGGGAAGGAGGAGCCCAGGACCCTACTGCACTCCCTGTGCTTTCCCAGGAAAGGAAGAGGGCAGCTGCCCCTCTGAGAAGCGGCCACTGTGCAGGGCTGGGAGCAGGCGCGGTTGAAGGACGGGGCTGAGGAGACTGGGCTCCGGCCTTAACCAGCCCTCTTAACAAGCTGCCCTCGGAAGCACCCAGCTGTGCCGGCCAGGGACAGGGGTTCTGACCCACCCCTCCTGTGCACCCTATCTCTCCTAGGCCCACTCCCCAGGCTCAGGCTCAGACCCTGATGGGCCAGTCCCTTGGAAGCCTCAGCCACGTGTACTGGGTCTGGGGCCAGAGCAAGCAGGGGCCTGGGACAGTCAGGGAAGGTCAGGACACGCTGGCCGAGTGGGCCCGGTCAGCTTCCAGGCAGAGATACCCAAGGTGAAACGGGGAGGCTGCGACCCTCTTCCACAGCTCAGACTGCGGGAGTGTGTCCGGGAATCCAGAGACCCGGCGGCTCCCAGGGGTGGGTGGAAGTTCCAGTCCCCTCGGGAGGGGGAAGGGCGGGCTCAGAAGGAGCCAGGAAGGGGCACCCAGACGTAGGAGAAACAAGCTTGGACAACAGGTCTTGGCCCTGGGCCACTCCCGCCCTGCCTGGGGCCTGTCTCTCCGCAGACCCCAGCAGGCAGGCCGGGATGGGGGCGTGGCCGGGGCTCCCCGCCGGACCCCCGAGCACGCTGCGCGGCGTCGGACTCACCTGCGATGTGCTGACGCCGGGCGTCATCCAGGTGCGTGGACAGCACGTCCCCCATGGTAAGGAAGAGCCGCGCGGCCCTATCCGGCCGCCGCCTGCCGCTGCCTGCGCTGCTCAGACAGGCGCCGCTGGCGCCATGGAGCCGGCCCGCCCTGCTCCCGCCGCCCCTGGCTGCGGCCTCTACCCGGCTAGCGCTCCGGCTCCAGTAGCGTCTGTCCACTAGCTGGCCGCCTCCGCCTCCGCCTCGCGCCCCAGCCCGCTGCCCCGCCTAGCTCGGCCCCGCCCCGCCAGCCCACGCCCCGCCCCGCCAGCCCACGCCCCCGGACTCGAGCCACGCCCCCTCCTCGGTGGCTGGCGAGCGGGCGGGGCAGGGGGCCCGGAGATGCAAGGATCGCCTGCAAGACAGAAACAAAGAGGAGGTCGGAGAAAGCGAGGCCGAGGGGGGAGACGCGGAGCGGGGCGCATCGGACCGTGACCGAAACCAAGAACGAGATGGCGCTGGTGGGAGGGCGTCTGAAAGGACGGGGGTGCCTGCGGGGTTCCAGCCTGGGTGTCAGCCGCCTCCCCCGCTACCTTCCCCGACCCCCGAGAAGGACGTGGGGGACCGGTAGGCGACGCCCAGGAGCACTCTTCCCGCCCCTGCTCCCCGGCCCCCAGCCCCGCCCGCGGCTGCCAGCTCTCAGGAAGTTCCTCGGCCTTGATCCGACCTGCCCCAGAAGGTGTACCCGCCCGTCTTGCACAACAGTGCAAGGAAAAGGGAGGTGGCAGGGAAAGCTCCGACTCAAAGGCCAGGCGCGCATTCCTCGGGCTCCGCATGTGGGTATTTCACTTCGGAGGTGGCTTGTGGGACAGGAATAGAAAAAAAAAAAAAGTACAATTTGTAAAAGATGCAGATTCAAAACCCACGGACCAGCATGGAGTTTGGGGGCTGGGCATGGTTGGGTCACAGGTACCAGGAGAATGTGTTTCAATTCTACCCCACTATCCCCCAAGCTGGTAGGGGAGCCGGGTTAACCCCTGGGACCCCCAGATCATGGACTGGGGTAGCAGAAGCCACCCTTGGCTGCTGATGCTCAGACCTCCTGTACTGCATCCTAGGGGTCACCCCGTTTCTGCTCGCTTGCCCCAATGACTGAGTACTTACCCATGTCTTTGTGCGCCCCACCCTGTAATTGGACAGCTCTTACTGTAACTGTGACATAGGCAGAAAGCGATGATAATAAAAGTTAACATTGCTGAGCACGGTGCTTCAGACCTGTCAACGCCAACAGAAGATAGGTTTGAAGTTGACTAATGGGATACAGGCACTCTTCGTGCGTTCGATGATAAACAGCTGCTGGCTCGGCTCTCTGCAAGATGCTGGGGATGAAAAGAGAGGATTGCAAGCTGTCCTACCTGCTCTGGGCCCCAGGACATGTGGCATTACTGAGAACCTCAGTTTCCTCATCTGTCCACTGAGAATAATGATGCTTTGTTGTGAGGATTAAAGGAGATAACACAGTGACTAGCACAGCCCCTGGCACAGGGTGGGTCATCTCAATAAACAGAACCCACCATTCTATTTTCGTCACAGTCGCTGCCCTCGAGAGCACAGAGAATCTTGAGGAAGGGACAGAGCATTCTGTTCAGAGGAAAATCACGGAAGGAGTAGTACCAGAACTACGAGCTGGAAGAATGAGAATTTTAACAGGAGATACTAAGGATTCCAGGGAGTGGGGATAGCATGGGCAGAAGCACAGTCTTTGAAGAGCAGGATGTATTCACGCAGCAGAGAATTATGAGGTGAAGCTGAAGTCAAGCTGGCAGAGATGATTAGTTTCCTTCTACAGAGATGGAAACTGAGGCCCAGAGAGGGAAAGTGACGTGCCAAGGTCACACAGTAAGGCGGAGGCAGAACCCAGCCAGAGGCCAAGTCTGCAGACATGCTGACTTCTCTTTGAGCCACCAGAAGCAAATGATACTATTAGCCTCATTTCCTTTTTCCCATGACCCATACTGTAGACACTGGAAAGGTCTGCTCTAACCTGAGAGGTGGGTAGATCACCGAGGCATCTGACATCTGAACACCCAGGAGGCCTGGACCAGTTGGGGTAAAGGTGGGGCCACAAGCCATCCTTTTGCAGCCTCTGTGGTGCAAACAGGCCTGTGAGCCTGGAACACCCACGAACTTCCCAGGGTCAGGCCCCTAGCCCAGGAGCTCTCCCTCTTGGCTTTGGAGACCTTCTGTCATGTGTCACCACCTAGACCTTCTGAGCACACATGACCTCCCATGTGAGACAAGCAAGCTTGTGAAAGAGGAAAGACACTGCAAACATGTGAATAACTCCCCTCATAGCATAGGGCCTGTCCCCTTGAATTAAAGATTCATTCAGTCCATACAGAAAATTGTAACAAGGTGTAGGGCAATTGACTGCAAAAAAAAAAAAAAAAAAATCAGGGAGATTTGGGGGTGAATGGAAACAGTCTATGTCTTGGCAGTTGCACAAGAGTATTTATTTGTCAAAACTCATCAGACTATGTGACTTATAAGGGGGTGCATTTGATTGCATATAAATTCTACTTCAATAAAGTTGATTTAAAAATGAAAAACAGGAAGTTCCCTGGTCTAGTGGTTAGAATTCCAGGGTTTCACTACTGTGGGATTCCGGAGTTCAATCCCAAGTTGGGGAACTGAGATCCCACAAGCCGCACAGCATGGTCAAAAATAAAAAAATAAATTAAATAAATAAAATTTTTTTTAAAATGGGCTTCCCTTGTGGCTCAGCTAAAGAATCTGCCTGCGATGAGGAGACCTGGGTTCGATCCCTGGGTCAGGAAGATCCCCTGGAGAAGGGAAAGGCTACCCACTCCAGTATTCTGGCCTGGAGAATTCCATGGACTGTACAGTCCATGGGGTCACAAAGAGTCGGACACGACTGAGCGACCTTCACTTCACTGACACCGCATCCAGGTATCATGCCAGACTTTCCCTGCCTTGTCTCTCAGAGTCCTCACAATGACTTTGTTGGAAGAATCACCAATTACAAGGATGTTTCCCCCCTCCTTATATGGCATGCAGGACCTTAGTTTCCCAACCAGGGATTGAACCGGTGCCCCCTATATTGGGAGTCTTAACCACTGGACCACCAAGGAAGTCCCATAAGGATTAGTTTTTTGGGGGTGGAGGGGATCTTCAATGCTGCATCAACTTTTCTCTAGTTGCAGTATGCAGGGGCTACTCTTGTTGCAGGACACGAGCTTCTCGTTGTGGCTTCTCTTGTTGCATAGCACAAGCTTTAGGAGCATGGGCTTCAGTAGTTGTGGCTCAAAAGGCTTAGTTTCTCTGCAGCATGTGGGATCTTCCCAGACCAGGGCTCGAACCCATGTCCCCTGCACTGGCAGGTGGATTCTTTACCACTGTGCCACGAGGGAAGCCCATGTGGGTTTTTAAAAGATGATATTCCATGGTGTGCACTTAGCAATTTAAACACTGGATAGGTGGGCTAGGAGAGAGAGTGCCAGGTAAAGACATCAGTGTGTGCAAAGGCAAGGAACATGAGTCCCTATGGGCCCCAGGGCCTGATGGCTATTCCCAGGCTCCTGCAGGGATGAGGAAAGAGGGGCCCTTCCCTGACTGGGTGGGACCAGATGGGAGACTCCCTGAACATCCAGAACATGGAGTTTTTAGCTTTATTCTGGGAAGACTGTAAAATTCTTTAAAAGTTCTCACTCTCCACTACTTTAAGGTAATAAATCAGGCCAGTGCTGATCTTTGGGTGGGGGAAGAATGATTTATTTTTGAAAGGAAAGAGAAACGATTGTAGTCATCAGCCCCATAGGAGGAAGGGGAAGGGATCCCAGGAAGTTAGCCATCAGGAGAATTTCTCAACTCTAAAGGTTGGGAACCCCCGTCCTCCTACTGAGGTGGTTTTGGTGTTCAGTTTTTAGTTTGAAGTAAACTAAAGAATCTTTTCATACATCTTGGCTATTTGTAGGTAGTTATTCTTCTTATTCAGGTCCTCTGCTTTTCTGTTGGAATGTCTATCTTTTTTCTTTTTTACTTTAAAGATCTTTTTCTACAGGAAGGATCTTTCAACTTGACAAGGCAGAGGCAGGTACAGGGGTGTCTGTGCTCTTTCTCCAGGGCTCTGGGTGCCATCTCGATCCACCAGGCTCGCCCACACCCTCTCCTTGGCCCTGGGCCCCAGAGCCTGGTGGAGGATAGGTGGAAGATAACAGACATGTGGACAAAGGATAGGAATGGTCCAGACCTGGAGCCAAGAGGGGCGGTTCCTTCCTGCCCACCTGCTGGGCCTGCTTACCCCCACCCACTCCCTACACTGCTACCCCCCCCACTCCCCCCCCAACCCGCCCCGGGATGCCACCTACAGTCCCTGATTCATCAGTCCTTCAGGAAGTGGCTTCTGCCAAGCTGCCTCCCTCAGGGCTACCCCACCCCACCCCACCCTAAAGCACATTTAGAAACAAGAACCCAAAGGTGAAAAAGAAGACTATTTTGAGAGGGAGGGCCCAGAAGGTCAGAGCCAGAGCTTGGACAAAGTTACTAAAGAAGGGAAGGGATTTGCCCCTGAACATACAGGCTCCTTCCTGGTCTTATAAGAAGGAGGAGGTCCCTTCCTTGCCCTGTTGGTCCCTCTCCCTCCCAGTTGGCTGAGAGCCCTAGCTCTGCCCTCCCCACAAACCTGTCAGACCTGAAATAGCCCAGGAGAAAAAAAAACAAACACCTCGGGTAAACAACAGGGAGTGTGAATGAATCAGGATCTTGTTTTTAAGGTATATCATGTGTCCACCACTGTTTCTCCAGTTGGCATGGCCCGTTGCTCGGAAGGGACCCTGGCACCCTGCCCAGACCTCCCCTCTTTATTAACTGTTGGGTGATGGAAGGAGATGCAAATCAAAGTCCGTTCCATCTGTCACCTGGCCTACCGCAGCTAAAGTCCTTTCTTGCTCCTTCAGTGGCCAGGTCCCCGGCCACACTCAAGTCCAGGCCCCGTGACTACCAGCCTGGTAGAATGCCCAGCAGCCTCTTTGGCCTCCCTGCCTCCAGCCTCCCATTTG